TGCATATATAATTAAAGTATGTTTCAGGAAATAAACTGATTCTTGGAAACCCTTAAGGAAAAGTCTAAATTTTTTTACCAGATTTATTCGGATCACATGCCATACAATTCACCCATTTACAGTGTACAGCTTAGTAGTTTTTAGAATACTTACAGAGTTGTGCAACATACCCATTGGCAGTTATCCTCCATTCCCACCAACTCCTCTAGCCTCTGGCAACCACAAATGTACTTTCTGTTCCTATGGAGTTGCCTATTCTGGACATTCCATATAAATGGAATCATACAAGATGTGGTCCTTCATGACTGGCTTCTTTCACTTAGTGTAGTGTTTTCAAGGTTCATCCATGTTGTAGCATGTATCAGTACTTTCTTTTTTATTGTCAAATAATATTCCATTATATGAATATACCATTTTTTGTTTATCCACTCATTAGATGGGCATTTGGCTTGTTCTGCATAATGTTTTGGCTATTCTGCATAATGCTCCTATGAACATTCATGTACAAGTTTTTGTGTGGCCATATGTTTTCATTTTTCTCAGATAAATAACTAGAGTGGAATGCTGGGTCATAACTCTGTGCTTAACCATTTGAGGAACTGCCGCACTGTTTTCCAAAGTGGCAGCACCATTCCATATTCTTACCAACAATCTATGAAGGTTCTAATTTTTCCTCATCCAGTACTTGTTATCTGAGTTTTTTTTAATCGTAGCCATCCTAGTGAGTGTGAAGTGTAGCTGTCTTATTGTAGTTTGTGTTTGCATTTCTCTCATGGCTAATGATACTGAGCATCCTTTCATGTGCGTATTGGCCATTTTTATATCTTCTTCGGAAAAATATCTATTCAAATCCTTTGCTCATTTTTCAGTTACGTTATTTGTCTTTGTTATTGAGCTATAAAAGTTTGTTATATATTCTAGATGCAAATTCTGTATCAAATACAGTGAAAACCTGTGAGAGCCAGGACTCAGTGGGACTGCCTTGTTTTTTCCAAGTCTCCCAAGTTTTCCACATTTGACAACGTTCAGCCTTACTACTTTTCTTTTTTTTTATTTTTAATTGTGCTTTAGATGAAAGTTTACAGAGCAAATTAGTTTCTCATTAAACAATATACATACTGTTTTGTGACATTGGTTGCCAACCCCATGACGTGTCAATACTCTCCCTTTCTTGACTTTGGGTTCCCCATTACCAGCTTTCCTTTTTCCTCCTGCCTTCTTGTCCTTGCCCTGGGCTGGTGTGCCCATTTAGTCTCGGTTTGTTTTATGGGCTTGTCTAATCTTTGGCTGAAGGGTGAATCTCAGGAGTGATTTCAGTACTGAGTTAAAAGGGTGTCCGGGGATCATACTCTCAGGGTTTCTCCAGTCTCTGTCAGATGAGTAAGTTTGGTCTTTTTTGTGAGTTAGAATTTTGTTCTACGTTTTTCTCCGGCTGTGTCCAGGACCCTCTATTGTAAGCCCTGTCAGAGCAATTGTTGATGGTAGCCACGCACCATCTAGTTATACTGGGCTCAGTCTGGTGGAGGTTGTGGTAGTTGTGGTCCTTAGTCCTTTGGACTAATCTTTCCCTTGTATCTTTTTTTTTTTTCATTCTCTCTTGCTCCAGACAGGGTGGGACCAGTGGAGTATCTTAGATGGCTGCTCACAAGCTTTTAAGACCCCAGACGCTACTCACCAAAGTGGGATGTAGGACCTTTTCTTTATAAACTGTCAGTTGAGCTAGATGTCCCCTGAGACCATGGTCCCCAGTCCTCAGCCCAGTAATTTGATCCCCCAAGGAGTTTAGATGTGTCTGTGGAGCTTCCATGACCTTGCCTTGGTCAAGTTGTGCTGACTTCCCCAGTACCGTGTACTGTCTTACCCTTCACCAGAGTTACCACTTAATCTATCGTCTATTTAGTGTTTTTCCATCCCAACCTCTCCCCTCCCTCGTGACCATCAAAGATTGTTTCTTTCTGTGTGTAAACCTTTTCATGAGTTTTTATAATCGTGGTCTCATACAGTATTTGTCCTTTTGTGATTGCAGTCTTAAACCAGGTTTCTGTCACTCTCTCTTAGTGGAAAATATTTGAGTTTTCCTTCTCTGATGGGTTTCTACCTTATCCAGGTTCCATCGTTTGCAGGTTTTATTGTATATGATTTGCAATAAATTTTTTTTAAAGAAAGACTTTTAATGTAAATATATACTATATCTTTAACATTATCTTAAAGAATTTGTTGGAAAAATACCTAATTAGATTAGATTTTTACACAAATGTAAATGTATACTACATCTTTAACATTATCCTAAAGAACTGGTTGGAAAACTACCGAATTAGGTTTTTACTTATTAGATTGTCTATTGGGATTGCTAAATGTGTTATGTTTGCAGATGTGTATCTAATGTACTTATGTATATGACATGCATATCCTTTATAACATATAGAATAAACTGAGGTTCTACAATATACCACACATATGTGCACTTATTTGTTGCATAGTATGGTTTATTTAGTGAAACTAGAAAGTATCATACCACATAACTTGTCTCATAATGTTTATTGATTTAATAAATTCGTGTAGCAGCTCTAACTCGGCCTCCATTAAGAAGAGAAAGGCACTGTAGACTATTAGTCCTTAGGAACGCCCTGGTACCAAAAGTAGTTCTGGGTAAGGTACATAATTAAGTGCTTAAAAATAGTTAGATCCTGTGTCATTAACTCAAATGCTGTGGAGCCTGAGTACCCTCTGTTTTAGGAGAGGACTTAAGTTGCGGTTAAACTGTCTCCAGCTTCAATTACTGATATAGCAGCAGAGGACCAGGAAATGAGATTAAAAAGGTAAAGCATATGGCTTTATTCTGTGGAAGAGTTGGAACTATCCTTAGGTCTTACACCAACTTGGTATCATGTTAAAAAAAAGAAGTTTCTAGACTTAAGCTTTGTTATCTAATTATTACAAGATTCCTTGGAAAGAAGCTGAAATCTGAAGAGAGTCAGCTGACTGGAAGGAGAGGAGGCAGTGGAAAAACCATCACTCTCAGTGGAGCCAGCTAGTGCCAGGGCAGCTGGCTAAACCCCTTTCAGTGCCCCGTGTTGTAACTGTTCATAATGATGCCCACTGGCTGTAAAGCACAGCTTTGGGGTGTCTGCACGGTCTGCTCTGAGGAACCTCAGGGCTCCACAAAGTGCATGAGGAGTTTCACAAGTAATGATGATTAAAGATACACAGTTGAATATAAAGTGACAAGCTGCTTGAGGAATCTTGACTCTCAGTCTTTTTCGTCTGCTTTAATAAAGCAGAAAGGTTTTATTGCTTTAAAAAAGTTTACAAACCACTGAGCTAGATTATTGGACAAATTCAATTTTGTACAGTTACTTTATAATGCTGGATAAATGAGGCATCACTATAAAGTACTTCATCTCTTAATACAGGATTTTTTTTTTTTTAGGGTACTAGGGCTATACTTTCATCTCATGCTGTATACCAGAATTCTCATTGATTTTGAGTTCAACCTGTTTATTCAGCGAGCATTTTCGAGTGCATGTTATTATGTTTCAGGCCTTTACAGTTGCTGGGGATATAGTGGGTAATAAGACAGACAAGATCCCTGCCCTTAAGGTACTTGCATTCTAGCAGGCGCAGTTAGACAATAGAAAAATAAACAAGAAATATCAGAGTGTTGAGTGCCATTAATAAAGCAGGTTGACGTGAGGGAGAGAAATTGGGAAATTGGCTGCCTTCTGTTGGCTCAGTCTCTGGAGAAGGCATCTCTGAGGAGATGACAGTGGAACTGAGACTGAGCAGGACTCGGGAGCCTGCTGTGCACACACCTTACGAACAGAAACTAGGCAGAAGTTAGCAGTTCGAATTTAAATGTATATCAAACCTGGGAGTTGGTAACTTTCTTAGAAAGTGTAGCTTTCTTAGCTCAGAATTTAATAGTAATAATCACAAAGGAAAGGCTTTTCGATCTGACAAGGTATGGACTTTTGAATTTCAAGATAATATACAGTGAAACTTGTGAGAGTTGGAACTCGACGGGACTGCCTTGTTTTTCTGGGTCTTGAAAGTTTTCAGCCTTTGAGAGGATGCAGTCTTGCATAGATTCTGGCTTTTGGAGGTTTTACTGTATTAAGTGGCAGGCGATTCTGAAAAAATGTTTTCAGCTTGTAAAATATGCAGAGGATTAAGATAATCAATTTATAAAAACATCTTACAGATTAATAAGAAAAATATGAAGCTCAATAGCTAAATGGCAAAGAAGCGTGACAAGGCAATTCCCCGAAGAGCACGTCTCATTCATAAACATCACTAAGAATCAAAGAAACATAATTAAATGAGAAACATTTTTTTTAATCTACTGAATTAGCTTAAACTTCTTTTATTTTACTAATATTCCACACTAGAGAGAGTACAATGCAATTGGCGTTCTCATAAATTGCTCACAGCCCTATAAATTAATATGAATTGCTTTTGAAAAGCTGTTTGGCAATGTGTATCAATATCCACACACACACACACACACACAAACAAACACAAAATCTGTTTCTTGTCCCAGTAATTTCACTTCTGGGAATTTATTTTACATAAAAAAACCAAGTGTTGGGGAAAAATAAACATTTACCCCAAAACATGCCTCACATTATTTTAATAGATATTTGTAGCAACCAAATGTCTGCCAGTAGGGGAATAAGAGTAAACCAGGACGCATACACTCAGTGGGATATTATACATACATTGAAAAGGATGGTTGTAACAGCTGCAGCAGGGGGAAATACTTGTGATACGATGGGAAAGGATAAGCAGCAGCATGTAAAATTGTGTGCATACTCTTCGTAGTTTTTTTTTCTGATTCAAAGAGATCCACCAAAAAGTTAACAACGGTTGTGTTAGCATTGTGGGATAAAAATTTCAGTTGTGTCTAAGGAAAAAAATACATTTCTCCCTAAAGTTTTACCTAAAAACTTAATTTAAATGACAGTAAAGGAATCAACTCACTGTTTATCTTTCCACAAAAGAGCTTTGAAGGAACAATTGTGTGGGAGAGCCAAGACCACCAAGGCCTTGTGTCAAGAAATCTTCACAAAGTGACAGTCAATGATGGAGGGGGAGTTCTCAGAGTCATTGCTGTAAGTCATCTTTTTTTTTTTAAATAATTGGGAATTGCTGTTTTTGTTTAGCATCCTTTATGTATTTTGAATACGTAAAAGTGTATTTACGTTTACTTTTACACTAACACAGGCAATATGGATGTGTGTGTTTTAGAACAAATGTAGTGGAAAATACTGTTGCATCACCATAGTAAAGACTACAAACGCAAATGTTTTATATGATTTTGTAACTCCAGTGTTAGTGAATACATAATTTTGCCTTAAGATCGGTACAGTTTTAAAGTTGGACTGTTTTGTTTCTCAGTAATTTCTGTTACCATTCTTTAAGAACATTTATTTAATAGTATTCAGAATATTCACTATCGCACCCTGATAGTAAAATGTCAGTTAAAATAATATCAATAACAATATTGGAAAATAAGATTGAGTACTTGCTTTCATTTATATTGCTTAAGCAACACTGGGATTTCTGACTCGTATTTTTCATTTATTCATGTTTGCTTCAAATTTAAAACAGTTTGACAGGTAAATTTCTCAAGTAAATGTAGAATAATAAATAAGATCTAGGCAAACTTAAAATGATGAACTTTAAACAAACAAGTGTTGTGTGTGGTGGCGTTATAGACACAACTTTCGTTCTCCTTGATCCGCTGGTCTAATGATTGGGAAAGCACTTGGCATTTAAATGCACAAGCTTAGTAGATTTTCATTAAATATCAACCTTATTCACATGAATTAATTCCTGAGTTTGAAATTAATCATTCGATATGTTATTACTCATTCAAAAAACATTTACTGTACACCTATTATAAATCAGACACCAAAAAACCAAACCCAGTGCCGTCAAGCTGATTCCGACTCATAGCATAGTGAACCTGTACACAGTGTGGGGGCAAAATAGGCCCAGTAGCAGCCCTCAGTGGAGCTTACAGTGCTGGTGAGAAAGAAAGCTATTAAACAGACACATGGATTCTTACGTAATTACAAATTTAGCCTTGTAGGCCATGTTAAGAATGTAAGATTTCATCCTTTATTATGAAAAGTTCTTTATTTAAGGTAGAAAATTTTATGGAATTTAATTATAGTTTTTGTTTCTTTTCCCTTTGTTATGTTTGCACATTTCTTTTTATGAAATTTAATAATATCCAAAATGTACCAGAGTTCTGAAGTATTTGAGTTGGTTACATAGAAGGAAATAAGTTTACTTCTGAGCTGAGGACTAAGTTCAAGTGTAAAGACAAATGATCTGCTTTAGGGGTAAATAAATATAGTTGCAGAGGGCCAAAAATAGCTTAGACATTCAGCCAATCTTAAAATTAAAAAAAAAATCAGGTAACTTTGTAGCCTGTTCTACATGTTCAAATGAAAGTTTTCATCATAAATGCATAGAGCTGAAAATTTTAACTATATCTTGCTCTCTTGCCAGCAAGTGATGATGATTGAAAATCTTAAAAATCCAAATTAAAGGCTAAAATGTAGCCTTTTAGAGAGAATAAACAAAAAATATCAAGTTCTAAACAAGCCAGAAAACAGCATATACAATAAAAAAAATAGAGCATACAATCTTTTATTGATCACATGATTAGACTCTGTAGCATCCACCTTTAGTAATTTCCTCAGCATTCAGCTACAAATTATGTTTTAAATTAAATGATGATTACCTCAGAACACTCTCTCTCTACCTGCTGTAAACCAATGCTTCTTACAGTACAAGCCTGCTGAGAGAGGAATAGCCAAGCAATAGCCTTCCTGATTACATGAATGTGTAGAAGAAAATACTATAAACATGCCAACCTCTGATGGTCTGACCCAGCCTGCAACAGCTGGAGAATAGCTCTAGTAGATGGTGCAACACACAGAAATAAAGCATTTCATTTTGAATTAGAGCCTTGGGTAACTTGTGGGGTGAAGAAAGGTAATCTCTAATAATAAAAGATCCTCTTAACTTTGGAGGTAGGAAGGGTTGTTGTTGGCCTTTGGCACTGTAGTCTCCAGGCACTTCAAAAACGTCAATACAGTAGGGTTCTATCTGAACTGTTGGAGACAGCCTTGTTCATTTAGAGGGGTTTTTCTCTGCTTGGCAACCCAACTTTAAAATGTGCCTAGATATATTAGAACTAATGGGAATTTTCATTCTCCAAAGAATCAAAGATGGTAATGATTTTTTTTTTTTTAAGTGGTAGGATTGGGACGTAAAATGAGATTGGTGTTTGTGCCATTATGGTAGCAAGTACAAGAGCACATGATTCTGTGTAAGTTGGAATTCTGACCACAGTGTGGCCTAGTGAGTATGCCTAATGTTTAGTATTGTAGTAACAAAAAATATGAAAATACTGTATGCCATCCTGATACTGTATACCTCTAGTGCACCAGCATCTTGGATGATCTATCTGCTGTGGAGGCGTATTCTGACTTTCGCCACATCATTTTTAAAATATGATGAATATATTTTTAGTAAACATATTGAGTGCTTCTATTCTCATTCTTCCAGGCTGGGGAGGGCGCATTGCCTCATGAATTCATGGACGGTGTAGAGGGAGTTGCAGGAGGTTTTATTTATACTATTCAGGGTAAGTCTGTTGGTTGGAAGTTGAAAAGCCTACTGAATCTCATGTACCTAATCTAACTTTATACTTTGATGTAAAAGATTTACTTTTTTAAAATAATAGCTTTTTGAGATATAATTCATATACCGTACAATTTACCCTTTTAAAATGTACAATTCAGTGGTTGTTAGTATATTCACAGAGTTCTGCAACTGTCAACCACTATCTAGTTGCAGAACATTTCCATTGCCCTACAAAGAAGCCCCATACCCTTTAGCAGTCACTTCCCTTACTCCCTTTCCCCCATGCCCTGGCAACCACTAATCTACCTTTTTTCTCTATAGATTTGCCTGTCCTGGACATTCCATATAAATGGAGTCATACAATATGTGGTCTTTTATGACTGACTGCTTTCACTAAGCAGAATGTTTTCAAGGCATAAATCAATATTTCATTTTTTATGGCTGAATAATATTCCATTGCACAGATATATCACATTTTATTTATCCACTGATGGACATTTGGGATGCTTCCCCTTTTTGGCTATTATGAATAATGCTGCTATGAACATTTGTGAACAAGTTTTTGTGTAAACGTATGTTTTCATTTCTCTTGGATAAATAGCTAGGAATGGAATGCTGGATCATATGGCAACTCTGTGTTTAACCATTTGAGGAGCTGCCAGACTGTTGGCCAGAGCAGCCACACCCATTTCCACCAGCAGTGTGTGAGGGTTCCAATTTCCCTATATCTTCACCAGCTCTATTCATTGTCCATCTTTTTTATTCTAGCCATCCTAGTGGAAGTGGTATCTCATTGTGGTTTACATTTACATTTCCCTGATGGCTAATGATGTTAAGCATCTTTTTATGTGTTTATTGGCCATTCTGGAAAAAATGTCTGTTCAAATCCTTTGCCCAATTTTAATTGGGTTATTTATCTTTTATTGTTGATTGTAAGAGCTCTTTATATATTCTGGATACTAGACCCTTATGAGATATGCTTTGCAAATATTTTCTCTCATACTATGGATTATCTTTTCACTTTATTCATAGTGTCTTTTAACCCACAAAAGTTTTAATTTTGGTGAAGTCTGATTTATCTATTTTTTCTTTGGTTGTTTGTGCTTTTGGTGTCATATCTAAGAAATCATTGTTCTAGGTCACAAAGATTTACGTCTTTGTTTTAAGATTCTTGTAATTTATATGTTACATATATGTCTTTGATCCATTTTGAGTTAATTTTATATATGGTGTGAGGTAGGAGATCCAGCTTCAGTATGTTGCATGTGGTATCCAGTTGTCCTAGCAGCATTTGTTGAAAAGACTTTTCCTTCCCTCATCGAATGTTCTTGATACCCTTGTGGAAATCTGTTGACTATAAATATAGTTTATTTCTGGACTCTCAATTCTATTCTATTCTATATGTCTGTCCTTATACCTGTACCACATTGTCTTGATTACTGTAGCAATAATTGCAGTAAGTTTTGAAATCAGAAGTCTGAAATTTCCAACTTTGTTCTTCTTTTACAAGATTATTTTAGCTATTCTGAATCCCTTGCATTTCCATATGAATTTTAGCATCGATTTGTAAATTTCTGCAAAGAAAGCCAGCTGGGATTTTGAAAGATAGTGCATTCAGTCTGCAGATCAATTTGGAGAGTATTGCCATCTTAACAATATTAAGTCTTCCAGCTAATGAACACAAGATGTCTTTCCTTTTATTTAGATCCTTTTTTTTTTCTTTCAGTGATGTTTTATAGTTTTCATTGTATAAGTCTTTTACTTTTGTTAAATTTATTCTTAAATATTTTTTTGATGCTGTTGTAAATGGAATTGTTTTCTTAATTTCATTTTTGGATTGTTCAGTGCTAATGTGTAGAAATACAGTTGATTTTTGCATATTGATTTTGTAGGCTACAATGTTGCTGAACTTGTTTATTCGTTCTATTTTTTTTTTTGGTGGATATCTTAGGATTTTCTGCTGTGAATAAGGATTTACTTTTTCTTTTCCAATCTGGGTGCCTTCTCTTTCCTTTCCTTTCCTTGTCTAATTTCCCTAGCTAGAACCTCCAGTACAGTGTTGAATAGAAGTGGCAAGAGCAGATATCCTTGTTCCTCATTTTAGAGGGAATACTTAGGGTTGGAGTTTGGATATCTGTATTTTAGCAAGCTCTCTAGATGGATTGTGATGTCTGTCGAAGTTTGAGAGGCTACAAATCATATAAGTCTTTTAAATGGCTCCTAGACAGATCATCAGGTTGAAAACACATACACAGATATTAATTTATGCTCAGATTTTTAGATACATGCAATACAAAATGAAATGTGTAACTTATTTGCCTAAAGGACCTGTATTTAATTTCAGTTCTCATCTTATTACCATTTTCCTATTGTGACTTTACAATACTTCATCTGTGCTTCAAGTGTTAAATTGTATATATTTATCTTTAAAGTAAAGTAAAAAGATGTTACAGTAGAATGTGAGAATTCAAAAGGATCCAGAGGTCATTTAGGCGTATATTTCTCAAAAGGTAGCCGGTGGTCCACCTGCATCAGTCACCTGAAGTAACAATTAAAAATACAGATTCTTGGGCCCCACCGCCAAACAATGCTGTGGTGAGTATTCTTGTAAACAGGTGAAATAATTTCTCTAGGGATATAACTAAAAGTGGACTTCACTGAGCCATAAGGTATGCACAACTTCAGCCTAACTAGATTACTGCCAAATTGCTCCCCAAATGTATCCACTAGCAATGCATGGGAGTTCCCATTACTCTACCTCAAAGTTCCTAACAGCTGTATTTGTGTTTGGTTACTTTGGAAAAAGAGTTTTAGTGTACATCATATTAGAAGTTCTGGGTCTTAACCATTGCAACAGCATTTTCTGCAGCTTCTCAATTTTTCCTTTTAGAAGGTGACGCTCTCCTAAAAAACCTTCATTCTCGTCCTCAAAGACTTATTGATCATATAATGGATCTCCATGAGGAAGATGCCTTACTGAAGGAGGAAAGCAGCATCTATAATGATATTGTTTTTGTGGATGTTGTTGACACTTACCGAAATGTTCCTGCAAAATTATTGAACTTCTATAGATGGTAAGTTGTAAAAATGTTGGGTAGCTGGAATTTGTTTTATTGTTCTTTTAATGTAGAAACAATGTATCAACTTCAAAACACTGATGTTGAAAAAGAACTAAGACCTTTTCTTATTTAGATTAGCAAGTCCATAATATGAAGGATATTAATCTATCAAAACCAAGGCAAAAATTGATTCACTTTGAGTCATTCCTACTTACCATGGTTGTCTCAAGACAGCATTAGATGAAAATCAGTGAGTTTGAAAATGGTCATCCATTTTCAGTTGTATTCATACCCATCTACCTAAATCCTCCGGTTACAATTACTCACACCCAGGTTGCTTATCTGAATTCTGTTCAACTGGACATCCACCTTCTGTGTCCATTCTCTACTCTTCCTGCTTAAAACTGTTGTTGTCAGTTGCCTTTGAGTCAGTTCCGACTCGTGGCCGACCCCATGTGTGCAGAGCATAACTACTCCGTAGGGTTTTCAAGGCTGTGACCTTTCGGAAGGCGCATCTGGATGGGTTTAAATTGCCAACCTTTAGGCTAGTCAAGTGCTTAATCACTTGCACCACCCAGAGACTCACATTTAAAACTGCTTGCCCTGATTCCAAAACTCTTACATAAGGTGGCACGCTGAAATTCAACCACCCTTAGAGTCTGTCATATTTGTAGCTTCCCAGAGTCTCCAATATTTCTTGGTTTTATTTGTAATTCTTACCTTTATAATAATAGCTATTATTATTATTATTATACGTTACTATTGTTATTTAACAGATTATATATATTAATTAAATCAATATTTCTTTAAATTTTAAGCTGTATTTAATAGCTGTTATTGTTGATATTATTGTTATTACAGAATCCCAGAATTTGTTGTTGAGTCCCCTGATACTGTCTGTAAGTGCCCACCTAAAGCCTTCTAACTCTATCTTTGTCTAGGCTAAACTTATAAAGAGTGTTCACATCTTTGTCTTTTCTTTCTTGAAAGCTTATCAGTAAGCTCCAGTGTCTGTCTCTTCTTTTCCTCCGTTTCCCTGGGCAGAGTGGGAATTCATCAAGTACTTTGAGGACATGGTTGTTGGTCCTGAGGGGTAGACATTCTAATTAGTGTATGAAAGGTGGCGTTTTATAGTTGGAGCAAGTTAATATGATTTTGGAGGGGTCTTATGGATGGATGTAAATGAGGATTGGCAATTTGGGTGTTTCTAAAATACCAAGTTTGAACAGCTGTAATAAGAAAAAGAACCTTCTTTTAGCTTAAGGCCACTAATGGGGATTCTTGGTGTAGATGAGGGCAAGGCAAGGGTGTAAAGAGGAGAGGAATGGGATTGGAGGTTCCAGAAATGGAAAATCAGGAACTGTGGAGTATTAGGACTTTCTGTAGGGACATACGAGCCCTGGTGGCACAATGGTTAAGAGCTTGGCTTCTAACCAAAAGGACGGCAGTTCGAACCCACCAGTCGCTCCTTGGAAACTCTGTAGGCAATTCTGCTCTGTCCTAAAGTATAGGGTCACTGTGAGTCAGAATTGACATGACAGTAATGGGTTATAGGGGCATAATCCCTAATTGTAGAAGTTCATTTTAGTTCAGATATGGCCTTCAGTTTGTTTTATCTCTTCTACTCCTTACATATCTATGAAATCTTAGCTCCTCCCCTCATTCTCTGCTGCTGTTGTCTGTTTGGAGCCCTCATCTTCTCCATGTGGATTAGGGTGGTAACCTTCTAACAAGTCTATGTTTTTGGGCCCCACCTACCCATAACCTACTTCACCCTTCTGCACTCCACACTGTAAGAAAAGTTTCATTATTCATTTTTTTCTTTATTAACTGATTTGTCAGTTACCTGAATGTCCTATATCACAAAAATTTATTTCTAATTGTTGTTATTGTTGGGTGCCATCAAGTCGATTCCGACTCTTGGCAACCCTACATAACAGAGTAGAACTGCCCCGTAGGGTTTTCTAGGCTGTGATCTTTATGGGAGCAGATCACCAGGTCTTTTTTCCCACAGAGCCGCTGAGTGGGTTCAAACCTCCAACCTTTCTGTTAGCAGCTGAGCAGTTAGTTAACCTTTGCACCAGGGCTCTTTTTTATTTCTAATTAGCAAGTAAATATTACGTATGCCTTATACTGTTAATTAGAAATAAAATTTAGAAACAGCATTATGCTATTTGGTGTGGACACATTGTGCTTAAATTCACTGTTCTTTGACCTAATGAAACTTTCTCCAGATTTTTTTATTCATATTTCTATCATCTGGTTAGTTCCCTAACAAGACAAGATTTTTTTTAAACAAAGATATACAGGGATTGTCAGTAGAAATGAGTCAGTTTTGCCTCTGGCTGCCCTTAAATATTTTTTTGATTTCTAGGTAAATGAAGTCACCCTTCTGTACCTTCAAAAAGGCCATTTATAAGTTTAATTGCTGGAAATTTTTTCCACGGAAAAATGTTTCAGTGTTACCAATTTTTATAAGCTCTAAAATAATCTTGTGGGTCATGTACATAATAGCATAGAACCCACCTTGTTGCTCAGCAGTGTTCCAGTGTAAGAGGCCATGTGTCATGCCTGACCTATTATCCTGGGCCTTTACTATTAAGAACATATGGAGCAGGGGGGGCAGGGAAACTAGATAAATGAAAACAGAACAACCAGAACAGAAATATTGAGAATGTTCATGCATTGTGAAGAATGTAACAAATGTCACTGAACAGTTTGTGTAGAAATTTTTTTTTGTGTGTAGAAATTGTTGAGGAACCTAAACTGTTGTGTAAACTTTCACGGAAAACACAGTAAAACACTATTTAAAAAAGAAAAAAAATTGGAGCAAAGTTCAAATGGGCAGCATGTTTGATCATTGCCCCACTTCAGCTGGATTTCTTTCTCATTGTGTTTTTTCCCTCCCACCCTTCAAAGTCAGTGTGTTACTTCTCTGTGTTATGCCACTTAGCAGTTAACAGATGGACTGTAGTGACAGCAGCAATGTTCTGTTAGAAGAAATGTTCTCAGCATTTGAGGACTAAGAAACGGAAACTGTATACAGGTGGTACTGGGACAATTTTGAATGAAGGTTTTGGTGATGTCATTGCATTGGTGTTGCTTTGTTTCCTTGTATGGTCACCCTGATTTTTGTATCTTTGCCAACAGGACTGTGGAAACAACCAGTTTTGACTTACTGCTAAAGACAGATGATGACTGTTACATAGACTTAGAAGCTGTGTTTAATAGAATCGCCCACAAAAATCTGGATGGGCCTAATTTTTGGTGGGGAAAGTAAGTTAAACATTTTTTGTCCATTGACTTTCATGTACCTGATCAAATACAATTAATTTAGAATGAAGTATGCCATTTATTTTTCATAAGAACAGTGTGGTCGAGATAGGAAACTTCCCTGTTGGTTTCTTGGGTTGCTGTATTTTATTACTTTACAATTAGAGAAAAAAAATTTTAATGAAGAATCTCAGGCTTATATAATGTGGCTTTTATCCGTACCCCCTAAAAATAAGTGGTACTGAAAATATGAAGCTGCAATACATTTTAGAGTAAATTGTGGCACATCTCTGAAACCATTTTCTGTGCTTCTTCAGGAATACAGTATTGATCAGTGAGTCTTTTTCTTTTTGGGTGGATGGGGTTTTATATATACACACAGAATGATCTTCTGATACTTTCCATTCAGAAGCTCCACAAATGCATCTATGAAAGAATTTAATATGCCAGTCTTTTATATAAAACATTTACTGGATAAGTGCTAATTCCTTTCCTTAGATTAAAAATATTTTCTCATTCTTTTTTCCTTGCTTCCACAAGCAAATTGGCAAATCGCTTATTCCTCTATAATGGTAGTAAAGGAGTCAAGTGGTAGGGTATGTGTCAGACCAACACAGCGAAGCCAAATGATGATTACTCTCAGTTTCAGATTGAATTGGGCAGTTGACCGAACTGGGAAATGGCAGGAGTTAGAGTACCCCAGTCCTGCGTACCCTGCCTTTGCATGTGGCTCAGGTTATGTTATCTCCAGAGACATTGTCCACTGGCTGGCAGGCAACTCGGAGAGATTAAAGACCTATCAGGTAATTAAGGATTTCTTACCTACGGGTCCACTCATCAAACCAAGTTTAATCCAGCCCAATATTCTGTCACTGAAAGCAGAGCCAACCCATTTTGGAGAAAGCATGCTGTTCTTTCTTTGTATATAGGAATCATCTCTCAAAGGTTAGGGGCACACTCCTGCTATCCCTCAAATCTTGGCTCTAAATTCTATTCCTAATTCTATTCCTTTCTTGAGCCTACTCATGTTTCCAGCCTGTATTTACAAGTATAATCCCTGGGGGAGAGTAGGCTCTTCTTGTAGTAGGTGTGGTCTTCTCACGTGATTGTGGTATGGGTGTTTCATGTTAACAGCCACTAGCTCTTACTTTGGTGTGTTAAGTTTAATCCATGTTTGGCATTGCTTATTAGAATAATTATAAAATAGATTATTTATTATTGGAGTGGGTGTGGCATTGTCTTTACAGATGAAATAGCATTTAAACTCTTGCATAGCATTTAAATTCTTGCATTTAAACTTCATGGGGCATGTACAGGGTGAAGATGTAAGCATGGGCATTTGGATGGCAGCTATAGGACCTAAAAGATACCAGGTAAGCAAGCCTGAGGGTGGGTGGTGGGGGGTGGGGATGGCCTCAGGGTTGAGGAAGTGAGGTTTCTGTATGATGCAGAAACAGTGAAATGAAGATCTTCTAGCATCCTGTGTTCTTGATTTAATTCATAATAATCCACTTAGGTTATTTATTTCTCCTACAATATTTTTATGAGAGTCTAAACCAAAAGGAAGTATTTTGAATGGAAGTTCCCCCACCCACAAAGAAGGTTTTATATACATTTGATCAAAAATACTTTGCAGCCTTAAAACTTAAGAATCAGTTGACTGAAGTTTCTGGCAGTATGCAGTCTTAAGAATCCTGAACAACCCTTCTAACACAAATAAAATACGAGGTTTTTACTATCGTAAAACACTTTTTAAAATACATTGATTGCTGAGCCAGAAAAAAAGAAATGAATCCACAGAGACCAAAACTGGGAAGTGGGAGCCCTGGGAGAACAAGCACAAAGCTGGCTTTTGCCTCAGAGATTTCTTTTGAATTCTGGATTCTTTCAGCTTCCACTTTGGCCATACAGCGATCAGGGGGGCAGAAGATAAAGTGGAGCGCCTGTCCAGTGGAGACCCTGCATAGAGCTGGGACCCCAAAGCAGTTCACTCTCAGTTCAAGGATGAACAAGAAATAAACCCAAATCTACTTAGTTGGCTTTGATAGTCTTACTCTGTTGTATTTTCAGTCCCTTCTTTAACTTATTTAAAATTGAATATATTTTCTGTATCTGGTAGTTCTAATATCGGCAGTCTTTGCAGGTCTGATTCTGTAGTTTGTTGTTCCTACTGACTTTTGTTCATGGAGCCTTCGTGGAGTTTTGTTTACTGCTGTATTTAGAGACGTGTGTGTGTGTGTGTGTGTGTGCGCGCGCGCGCAAGCTCATCCTTAGAAACTGAGGCCTGTATTTAAAATACATTCCTACAGAGAGGATTTACTTCTTTTTCTGCCATGCACCTGAAGGCACCACCATCTATGAACACTTTAAATTTCGGGCTGGGACTCTGGGGCTGCACAAGGATTGAACGCCAGCTCCATGCCTACCATAGTGCAGGCTGTGGTCACAGGTGTGCAGGGGAGACTTCTCCATTCCACCCAGGGCCAAGCTGCGACAGACACGTCCCTCTTATAGAAGGTGTTGTTCTCTTATACACCCACTGAAGGTGTCGCCTTTCCAGGGTTCCAGCTCTCTGGGAGTTTCTGGTCAGACTCCTGCCCCTGGGCATGGCCTTCTAAAACCCAGGGATCAGCAGATGTCTTCAGGGCACATGCTAACTCCAGCACTTTGACATGCTCCTTTCAGCCATGCTTTAAAAAGATATTTTTAATTTTGACCACTATTTTTGTGTTCTCTAATTGATTGGGTATCTCTGTACATGTATTTTGCTATATTGCTGGAAACAAGCCAGTTCCTGTAGCTAGGAAGTAGTTCAGTGGCTAAGATCTTGGGTTTATGAATCTGATAGATACCTATTTTAACCCCTCCTACCCAATTTACCCTGACCTTGAGCAAATTACTTAATCTCTCTTAGTTTGTTTCTCATTTATAAAAGGGAAATAATTCTTGCCTCACATAGTTATTGTGAGAATTAAATGAGATATTATTTATAAAGCACTTAGTACAATCCCCAGAATACTGTAAGCCTTCCATCAGAATGGTCACTGTTGTAATTCTAGGAAATATTAATAGAAGGGACTTTAAATATCAATAAGATCTATTCCTGTATTAGAATTTGAGCCAAGTTGTACTGAACAGATACATCACTTGGCAATGTTGTATGGCTATGTAACCACGTTTTCTCTAACAGCAAATAGGAAATTTTCCTTTTGTGATACCCAAATTTTCTGTTTATAGAATTCCCTTTGCTCTTAATCCATACACACTCCATTGTTTCTGTTTCACACAACCACATGATTGGACATGGCTCTTTCCAGAATCACAGGTACTGCCCCATCAGGAGTGGGTTCACATGTACCTTGATTATCTGAGTTGTCTTTGAAATAATGGTAGCTTCATTAGATTATGTAAGTTGACTGTGTGCATGTTTTCTGTCTCTTACAACACACTTTCACAACTCTAAAATCAGGTTTTGTTTTGTCTTCCAACAGGACAGCCTCTGGTTGTGCGAGAAGACTTGTGAAACTGGAATGTTATCTTCCCCTCAGTATTCCCCACAGGAGCTCACAGAACTGTGGGAACTCAAGGAATTGTGTGGTGATCCTTGTCAGTGCGAAGCAAGATAATTATGGTTTAAAGATGAGGGTAAGGTGAATAATAATCTGAGTCTAAGTCTGAGGAAAGCCCGAGGTTATGTGGTCCTTCAGGGTAGTTCTAGGCTGGCACTTTCACCAATGTGGTACTTCTTAATGTTTGCACAAAATTTCCTCTTTAAAAATCAACTGACTCTTCATTGGACTGGACTGTGGGACATAAAGTGATACTCGTGAGGAGTGTGCCTCTTAGCTCAAGTAGATACGAGAGACTAAATGGGCAGCTTCTGTCCGAAGGTGAGAGGAGAAGGCAGAGAGGGTCAGGAGCTGGTTGAATGGACATGGGGAATCGGGTGGAAAGGAGGAGTGTGCTGTCACAGTATAGAGAGCAATTAGGGTCACGTAACAACGTATGTATAAATTTTTGTATGGGAGACTAACTTGAAATGTAATCTTCATTTAAAGTATAACAAACAATAAAAAAAGAAAATCAACTGATACTGTAGCATAAGAAAAAATTTTATTTATATGTTAGAAGATTTGAAAAATATCAAATTGTTTATCCCTAGTGCATTGTTTCTAGTTAACAGAACCTATGAATCAGTTAATGGTTAAAGGTTGGCCTATTTCAGAAAGCTAGACTAGGAACTGAGTGAATTTCTGCCTGGATTGCAGAATAGCTCTGTACAGTCTAATGAGGGTGCTTAAGGTGTACAGTCTAATGAGGGTGCTTAAGGGACAGAAAGAACTCACAGAAATGCTGTGTGATCACTTTGTGTGCAGTGGTCACTTATACCAAAGTTTGGGGATTTCTGGAAATAATGTCAGCTTTTGTGGATCTCTGAATGAAGTGGGCAGCTTGAAAAGAAACCAATATAATTCTCAGTTCTGGACCTTGGTTTTAAAGAGGTTCATTAAGTGTGCTAATAACTCAAGTCTTCTTTTGTCACTTAACATAAATGCTGAAGTGCACAGCTTTGTACTCCTATAAAAGCTAAATTTTTATGAATATGAGTAAAATTACACAACTCTTAGGGCTTAGTGCTGTAGGGAAGGATACTTCTAAGTAGTTAAGTTGACACTTTGAAGGAATTAACTTTGCTTTCCTCCTATCATTGCCGAATGTTTACCTAATATAAGTGAATTTCAATCAAAGATGGTAATCTATGAAAGGAGATACACCCAATTTAGGTATAACTATAAGGAAAAGTGTGTGATTAATTTTTTTTAAGTACTCTAAATGTCCTGCAACTAAGAAGTGATATAATAGCATCTATGTTATAAACAGTAGAGGGTAGGCATCACTGAGTTTAAGGGACCTTTCCCAAAATGACCAACCAAATCATGTTAGTAACCTTTTTAAATAGCAGTTTCCTTTTTAAATAGCAGTTTCAATAGAGAATTACATTAAAAGTAATCTTTGACAGACATTAACTGTGTTCAGGTTACATCAGGCTAGCTAGTTTCTATTTAATATTTAAATCCTCACATAATGAAACATAATGAAATGCAGTGATGAACTGTAAAAATAAGTATGAAATAAATCAGAAAATCATTAGTAGGTACAAAGCCTTTATTATTATATACAAGCCTGGAAATGGTCTCTTTCCAATGAAAAAAAATCAACCTTTTCTATACTTTAGGGCAAGTTGTAAAACCCTATACTTTTTGACAGTAGAATTGTTTCAATGTTTCAATAAATTACTATAGTTGACCATTACCATCGCACTAATAGACAGTCTCCATTTTCCACAGAATAAAACTGTAATGTCTGTTGGTCATTTCCTAGTTCAATTTCTCTGCCTGGCATCTAAAATTTAAAAAAAAAAAAGGTAGGGGGAATGATTAAGACAGATCA